ATGTCAGTCTTAGTGATGTCGGTACAGACACAACAGTAGGTCGTTAGTAGTTGGTTATCAAATCTTAGTGATGTCGGTACAGTCTTAGTGATGTCGGTACAGTCACAACAGTATGGCGTTAGTAATTGATGATCAAATCTTAGTGATGTCTGTCAGTCTTAGTGATGTCGGTACAGACACAACAGTAGGTCGTTAGTAGTTGGTTATCAAATCTTAGTGATGTCAGTACAGTCTTAGTGATGTCGGTACAGACACAACAGTAGGTCGTCAGTAGTTGGTTATCAAATCTTAGTGATGTCGGTACAGTCACAACAGTATGAGTCACAACAGTATGGCATTAGTAGTTGGTTATCAAATCTTAGTGATGTCTGTCAGTCTTAGTGATGTCGGTACAGTCTTAGTGATGTCGGTATAGACACAACAGTAGGTCTTTAGTAGTTGGTTATCAAATCTTAGTGATGTCGGTACAGTCTTAGTGATGTCGGTACAGTCTTAGTGATGTCGGTACAGACACAACACGTTAGTAGTTGGTTATCAAATCTTAGTGAGTCAGTGATGTCGGTACAGTCTTAGTGATGTCGGTACACAACAGTATGGCGTTAGTAGTTGGTTATCAAATCTTAGTGATGTGTCAGTATGGCGTTAGTCTTAGTGATGTCGGTACAATCTTAGTGATGTCGTCTTAGTGATGTCGATGTACAGTCTTAGTGATGTCGGTACAGTCACAACAATATGGCGTTAGTAGTTGGTTATCAAATCTTAGTGATGTCGGTACAGTCTTAGTGATGTCGGTATCAATCACAACAGTAGTGATGTCGGGTCTTAGTGATGTCGGTACAGTCACAACAGTATGGCGTTAGTAGTTGGTTATCAAATCTTAGTGATGTACGGTGACAGTCTTAATCTTAGTGATGTGATGTCACAACAGTATGTCGGGTCGCAACGTTAGTAATTGTTATCAAATCTTAGTGATGTCTGTCAGTCTTAGTGATGTCGGTACAGACACAACAGTAGGTCGTTAGTAGTTGGTTATCAAATCTTAGTGATGTCGGTACAGTCTTAGTGATGTCGGTACAGTCACAACAGTATGGCGTTAGTAGTTGGTTATCAAATCTTAGTGATGTCGGTACAGTCTTAGTGATGTCGGTACAATCTCAGTGATGTCGGTACAGTCACAACAGTAGGTCGTTAGTAGTTGGTTATCAAATCTAAGAGATGTCTGTCAGTCTTAGTGATGTCGGTACAGACACAACAGTCTTAGTGATGTCGGTATCAAATCTTAGTGATGTCACAGTCTTAGTGATGTCGGTACAGTCACAACAGTATGGCGTTAGTAGTTGGTTATCAAATCTTAGTGATGTCGGTACAGTCTTAGTGATGTCGGTACAATCTTAGTGATGTCGGTACAGTCTTAGTGATGTCGGTACAGTCACAACAGTATGGCGTTAGTAGTTGGTTATCAAATCTTAGTGATGTCGGTACAGTCTTAGTGATGTCGGTACAGTCACAACAGTATGGCGTTAGTAGTTGGTTATCAAATCTTAGTGATGTCGGTACAGTCTTAGTGATGTCGGTACAGTCACAACAGTATGGCGTTAGTAGTTGGTTATCAAATCTAAGTGATGTCTGTCAGTCTTAGTGATGTCGGTACAATCTCAGTGATGTCGGTACAGTCACAACAGTAGGTCGTTAGTAGTTGGTTATCAAATCTTAGTGATGTCGGTACAGTCTTAGTGATGTCGGTACAGTCACAACAGTATGGCGTAAGCAGTTGGTTATCAAATCTTAGTGATGTCGGTACAGTCTTAGTGATGTCGGTACAATCTTAGTGATGTCGGTACAGACTTAGTGATGTCGGTACAATCACAACAGTATGGCATTAGTAGTTGGTTATCAAATCTTAGTGATGTCGGTACAGACTTAGTGATGTCGGTACAATCACAACAGTATGGCATTAGTAGTTGGTTATCAAATCTTAGTGATGTCGGTACAGTCTTAGTGATGATGTCGGTCTTAGTGATGTCGGATGTCTTAGTGATGTCGGTCGTTAGTTATCAAATCTTAGTGATGTCGGTACAGTCTTAGTGATGTCGGTACAGACACAACAGTAGGTCTTAGTGATGTGGTTATCAAATCTACAGTCGGATGTCGTTCACAACAGTATGGCGTTGAGTTGATGATCAAATCTTAGTGATGTCGGTACAGTCTTAGTGATGTCGGTACAGACACAACAGTAGGTCGTTAGTAGTTGGTTATCAAATCTTAGTGATGTCAGTACAGTCTTAGTGATGTCGGCACAGTCTTAGTGATGTCAGTACAGACACAACAGTAGGTCGTTAGTAGTTGGTTATCAAATCTTAGTGATGTCGGTACAGTCTTAGTGATGTCGGTACAGTCACAACAGTATGGCGTAGTAGTAATTGATGTCAATCTTAGTGATGTCGGTACAGTCTTAGTGATGTCGGTACAGTCACAACAGTATGGCGTTAGTAGTTATCAAATCGTTAGTATGTTGGTTATCAGATCTTAGTGATGTCGGTACAGTCTTAGTGATGTCGGTACAGTCTTAGTGATGTCGGTACAGTCACAACAGTATGGCGTTAGTAGTTGGTTATCAAATCTAAATGACGTCTGTCAGTCTTAGTGATGTCGGTACAGACACAGCAGTAGGTCGTTAGTAGTTGGTTATCAAATCTTAGTGATGTCGGTACAGTCTTAGTGATGTCGGTACAATCTTAGTGATGTCGGTACAGTCTTAGTGATGTCGGTACAGACACAACAGTAGGTCGTTAGTAGTTGGTTATCAAATCTTAGTGATGTCAGTACAGTCTTAGTGATGTCGGTACAGTCTTAGTGATGTCGGTACAGTCACAACAGTAGGTCATTAGTAGTTGGTTATCAAATCTTAGTGATGTCGGTACAGTCTTAGTGATGTCGGTACAGTCACAACAGTAGGTCGTAAGTAGTTGGTTATCAAATCTTAGTGATGTCGGTATAGTCTTAGTGATGTCGGTACAGTCTTAGTGATGTCGGTATAGTCTTAGTGATGTCGGTACAGTCACAACAGTATGGCGTTAGTAGTTGGTTATCAAATCTTAGTGATGTCGGTACAGTCTTAGTGATGTCGGTACAGTCACAAAAATATGGTGTTAGTAGTCGATGATCAAATCTTAGTGTTGTCGGTACAGTCACAACAGTATGGCGTTAGTAGTTGGTTATCAAATCTTAGTGATGTCGGTACAGTCTTAGTGTTGTCGGTACAGTCACAACATAGGTCGTTAGTAGTTGGTTTTCAAATTTCAACTCAGTGATCCTGTACGTGCACATTTGGTATTAATTTAAATGTATTAAAATAAAAAAAAAAGATAATAAAATAGGTGTTTCCAGTTTTTGCCATTCTAAACTACAGACTCGACGAAATTCATCTACAGAGAGGTATTTGCTGATAATGGTTGTCTCCACACACAGCGAGCTCTACAATTTAAAGGCAGGTGCCCCACTGTTGGTGTTAACTACACACTGTAAATCGATAACTAACAGCATTTACAGAAATTAACCCGCTGCTTGTTTCTATCTTCCTGGCATGGTTCAGAGTATACATGTGTACCTTACATTCTTTTGAAATCATTCAAAATTGAAAATTGTGAAATTTATGACAGTGGTGAAATTTATTGAGTTTTATGGTAAAAACACCCCGCAATCTGATTTCTGGCATTCTTTCGGCTAGTGTTGGCTTTCCCCATTTATCTCCTTCGCTTCAACCATTAAGGCACTTAACATCTCGCCGGCGGGTCCTACAAGGAGGGAGCATGGATGTGATGCAGTTAACTTCGTTATTTGTCTGTATTATTTATTATTCAAAATTTGTATTGAAAGGTGCTAAAACACCTGTTCTTTTGTACATCCTCCAAGTAAATGGTACAATTCAATAGAAAATTTAGATTTCGACGCGATACAACTAAATAACGAAACAAACTGCATCATACAGATGTTTCGTCCTTCTAGAACTGTATATAGGCAATAATGTTTATAGATTACTAGGTCGAAACCAAGGAGGCAGCAGAGAAAAATTGAAACACGTCACTAACGGTGTCCAAACACAGACAAATTGAAACACGTCACAAACGGTGTCCAAAACCAGAAAAAATTGAAATTAGTCACTAACGGTGTCCAAAACCAGAAAAAGTGAAATTGATCACTAACAGTGTTCAAACCCAGAAAAACTGAAATTGATCACTTACAGGGTTCAAACCCAGAAAAATTGAAATAGATCACTAATGTTGTCCCAAACCCAGAAAATCTGAAATTGGTCACTCACGGTGTCCAAACACAGAAAAATTTGAATTGGTCACTAGCAGTGTCCAAACCCAGAAAAATTGAAATAGGTCATTCATTAACAGTGTCCAAAACCAGAAAAATTGAAATTGGTCACTAATGTTGTCCCAAACCCAGAAAATCTGAAATTGGTCACTAACAGTGTCCAAACCCAGAAAACCTGAAATTGGTCATTAACGGTGTCCAAACACAGACAAATTGAAATTGGTCACTCACGGTGTCCAAACCTAGAAAAATTGAAATTGGTCACTAACAGTGTCCAAACCCAGAAAACCTGAAATTGGTCACTAACGGTGTCCAAACACAGACAAATTGAAATTGGTCACAAACGGTGTCCAAACCCCAAAAAATTGAAAATGGTCACTAACGGTGCCCAAACCCAGAAACATTGAAATTGGTCACTAGCAGTGTCCAAAACCAGAAAAAATTTAGATACGCCACTAACAGTCTTAAACCAGAAAAATTGGTATTGGTCTCTTATAGTGTCCAAACAGGAAGAGGCGGTACAATAGCCCAAAAATTCCAATATTGAACAACGAACGTCATGTAAATATGTATTTTCTGAAATTTCTCGTCAAAATATACAATTAGAAAGAAAACTTGAGTGTATCACTAAAATGTAATATAACTTTATCCATAATTTTAATTGTTATGACATGACTAACCTTTCCAGCACTCTTCACACTTTTCCAGAGACTGAAGTAGAGGATGATGAATGTTAGAAGGACACAAAGGGCCAGCTCCCATTTAATAGGGCCCAGATCGCCTATTCCTTTACTCTTGTGCAGCCCCAGCATTCCTCTCCTGTAACATTGTACAAAAAGACACACAAGTGAATAGCACCTGTGATAATTAAGAGTTAGGTAGATTAGTGCCAAACAATGAAGTTAACTGCATCACACAGCTGTTTCGTCCTTCTAGTGCTCATCAATGATACTAAGAACCTCGATTTTGAAGCCTAGGAGGCGATTGAGGAAAATCCAAAGTGATCAAAAGAAAAGTCACAATCCAGACGGGGAGGTGCAGCAGCGCCATTTTTATATAAATTTCGTAATTAATGTAACAGAAAATAACAAGTATAGATCAGATTATAAATCTTCTGACGATTATTACTGGTTTAAGTGTGTGTAAAATATGTTTAAAACTATCCTAAATATATATTTGCTAGTGATGTTTATGATAATTTGAAATTGAATGTCAATATTTCGTTACGCAAGATAAGGCATCACCGAATGCTTCTGCCTTGTAATAGACTAAACAGATTTCTCTGATGAGAAAGACTTGTAAGAAGTTCAATGCGAGTCTCATTAATTATATACGTAATAATGCCATGTAAACCAATGACCATATTCAGATTACTTATCGGGGTAAAACTCATGCAGACAGAACATCAATAATTCGTCAACAGAGAACCATAGCTGGCCAGTATACGTTTGACCGTGTTTCACAGTCAATGGTACTGCTGGATGAGGCATGACGGTTTTTTCTAATCTATAATATCAACAGTTTCTATAAGAGGCCCATTTTGCGGATTATCAAAGAAAAAGTTAAGTAAGTTGTCAATCGGTACAAACACACACCTTCACCCTATTATTATTTCATTTTTATTTATTACATCAGACGTGTTGGTTCCGGTATTGTATACCTTGTTCTCATATGAAAACGTGACATTCCTTACTTGGATTAACCAAGGTTTACATGACGACTGTCATCGATGAAGCAGAAGACGCTTACTCTTCCGGAACACCTGGTTTTATGCTCCTTGTACTTTCTCAGGGGTCCGTGTAAAATCTTTCATTTGTTCATATTTTGTTTAACCTTATTTGATTTGAGTTTCGATTACGATTGTGTTGACATGTTGGTATTTTCTTTTTTCCATAAGTACGCAACAAGCGCTGGCTTGAAATGGTTTGCGCAACATGTACCTACTCATAGAACTCAAACGCTGAAGAGACGGATGTGTTGGCGTCGTAGGAACGGTTGAAGTAAGTCTTGTTCGTATCCCAGTCAATCTGCCAGCATCGCTCGCTGTTGAATTCATGTGAACAACTGGCCCAGGGCAGGACCAGTGAGAATGATGAAAAGAGATAGTAAAAGGACCAGCCAATGACGAGATTGTAATAAAACGCAACGATATACGCCATCAGGCAGGAGGCGTATCCAATACCTGAAACAGAATGACATAATAACATAACTAAATATACGTCACCAGCCACTAGGTGTATCTAACACCTGAAAAAAAGACGTAAGAATATAACTTTATATACGTCATCAGTCACGTGGCTTATCCAATATCTAAAACAAAAAATGAGGTAAGAATATAACTTTATATACGTCACCAGCCGCTAGGTGTATCTAACAACTGAAAAAAAGACGTAAGAATATAACTTTATATACGTCATCAGTCACGTGGCTTATCCAATATCTGAAACAAAAGATGAGGTAAGAATATAACTCAATATACGTCATCAATCAAGTGGCTTATCCAACAAATGAAAAAAATGACGTAAGAATATAATTTAATATACGTCATCAGCCACGAGGCGTATCTAATACGTTAAACAAAAAATGACGTAATGATATAAGTTAGTATACGTCATCAGGCACATGGGGTATCTTATACCTGAAACAAAAATGACGTAATGATAGAAGTTGATATACGTCATCAGGCACGTGGGGTATCTCATACCTTAAACAAAAATGATGTAAGAATATAACTCGCCAATAAACACTAAAATGGAGACAACACAGGTTACTATTGAAACACCTGTTATACGAACCAAGCGTCTTCCTGACCTTGTTTAGACTCACTAGTTTGTATAACCTCAATCAATATTACAGACTTAGGATCTTTATTACATTGTGTGGAGTAAGTATAACAAAACTTCCTTCCCTCTGTATTCTATATTCGTTTCAACCTAATCTTAACCTCTTTCATTTGTGATCGCCAAGGAACAAAAATGTGGAATTCCATCTGTACACCGAAAGGATGAAATTGTCTTTTAACGCTTCCAAAACTTGAATGGTGAGGCATGACGTATGTTTCATGCACCGGGAGGTTTCATTTAGTTTTGAATCTGTTTATTTATAGCTAAAAGCGAGACGTTTTAACAGGTGAACGTAATTCATTGCAACAGGAAGGACGCGAAAACAACCAAAACTTGCCTGTTGAAGTAAACGCCAACACTTTAATATTGTTCATGTTACGTTCAACAGGACCTACACGAACTCTCCAACAATGAAGTATACACAAGACACATTATCCTTGAAGCTGGTAAATCTTTCAAAATGTTTGCCTCTCTTCACTCAGGCTGTGCGATAAACAACCGCTTTTCGGTCTACAGTTGTCTTTGAACTGATATTATTAGTGTGGGAATTGGCCCGACTCGGTGAAGTCAGGTGTGTGAGTAGAGGGGGTGTGATGATAGTTTACACGTTGTATGTCGGTAGATTTCTTGTTGTTCTCCATAATAAGAATATTAAATTGCTTTCTTACATGTAAAACATTAATCGGATATATTGATACTATCTATATGTACTGTAACATAGTAACATTTTCGTCAAGAATATCACAAACCAACTTCTTTCCGACAGTGTTTTTAATGGCTAGCTATCTACACTATGACACAACATAGTTTGACGCTTTGAATTCAAAGAATTGAAAATATCATGACAGGACACCATATAACAAAATAAAGCAATTTAGGATCTGAAAATAGAACATATTTAAGACACTCAACTGTGAGATTGTTTAACTTATCGGGAAAAAGCTAGTTTGTTGTTCTTGTGATGAGGAGAGAAAAACAAACACGAGATGAATAGATGGTGCTAAATTGGATACATTTTGGGAAATAAACAAAATATGATATAATGATACGTGAAATATATGGTTGGAAGACATATTGTCGATGTAGGTGTCCAGTTATCAATTTCCGAACCCGTTATGGAAACGGCACATTCCCGTCACAGAAAATAAAAAGCGGTGGTCAACAGCCATGACCTTAGAGGTCTTAAATCCTCAAACGTACCGAAGCGGAAGATAATAGCTATTTTATTATATAGCTGCTGGAATTTGGGATTGAAGCGATGTTCATTTCATGGCTTCTTACGATATTTTATTTTTAATCTACAACACTCAGCTACAGCTTTTACAATGATGTTCCAAGCTTTGAATAACAGCATCCACATGAGTTCTGTATACACTGGATCGCATTCCTGAAAAATATCTATATATATCTTATAATACGAGTGAAATATTATGTGATATTTAACGGGTAACCATTGAATTTTCCTTTTTTTAAAATTTTATTTAAGGAAAAAAAAAAAGAAACGCGTCCAAATATTAATTAAATCGGGTATTAAAAAAATGAAAGGAAAAAAGAAAAGAAATATTAGCGCGTTCTTTAGACAATACACTTTACAGGCGTCCGTAGTACAACTTTTCTCCGTTAGACTGCGCTGTTGAAAGTCTTATAGGAAGAATCAGCTGTGTATTTTGTACGAAGAGAAGTTTAGTAAATAGTAGAAAAAAACTACGGCAGGTTATCCAGCCTATAAACTTGACAAGACGTTATTCTAGATAAACTGCTTTTAGTTGTATTCTTAGGCTATCATTTAATGCTGTTATTTGGTGAGAATCGCCTGCAAAACTGTTAGCGAAAAAAAGAAATGTACTTTTTCAACCTTCGTATTATTTGCGTCCGAACAGGAAAATCGGCGAATTTCAAAGCAGTTAATAGGAAGCACCGTTCTGATTGGTCAAAAATACTAGTTATATTATAACTACAATTCTTATATCATCGCTGAAGGATAACACCACTTTTTTTCATCAAATTGATGAATTCTTATCTCACAGACAAAAAAATCAATCAAAAAATTAATCCGAAACTAGATAAACTTTGTCAAATCACACCTGTTTTCTGGGCTGTTAGGACCAACAATGTCATTACAAAACGAAACTAAAATCCTTTCATTAACAAAATCAGGTTACTACATACGTGTAGTATTAATAACATCAGGTTACTAGATACGTGTAGCATTAATAGCATCATGTTACTACATACGTGTAGTATTAATAGCGTTAGGTTACTACATACGTGTAGAATTGATCACATCAGGTTACTACATACGTGTAGTATTGATAACATCAGGTCACTACATACGTGTAGAATTGATAACATCAGGTTACTACATACGTGTAGTATTGATAGCATCAGGTTACTACATACGTGTAGAATTGATAACATCAGGTTACTACATACGTGTAGCATTGATAACATCAGGTCACTACATACGTGTAGCATTGATAACATCAGGTTACTACATACGTGTAGAATTGATAACATCAGGTTACTACATACGTGTAGAATTGATAACATCAGGTTACTACATACGTGTAGAATTGATAACATCAGGTTACTACATACGTGTAGAATTGATAACATCAGGTTACTACATACGTGTAGAATTGATAACATCAGGTTACTACATACGTGTAGCATTAATAGCATCAGGTAACTACATACGTGTAGCATTAATAGCATCATGTTACTACATACGTGTAGAATTGATAACATCAGGTCACTTCATCCGTGTAGAATTGATAACATCAGGTTACTACATACGTGTAGAATTGATAACATCAGGTTACTAAATACGTGTAGCATTAATAGCATCACGTTACTACATACGTGTAGAATTGATAACATCAGGTCACTACATATGTGTAGCATTAATACCTTCAGGTCACTACATACGTGTAGAATTCATAACATCAGGTCACTACATACGTGTAGCATTGATAACATCAGGTTACTACATACGTGTAGCATTGATAACATCAGGTTACTACATACGTGTAGCATTAATAGCATCAGGTCACTAGATACGTGTAGTATTAATAGCATCAGATCACTACATACGTGTAGCATTAATAGCATCAGGTTACTACATACATACGTGTAGAATTGATAACATCAGGTCACTACATACGTGTAGCATTGATAACATCAGGTCACTACATACGTGTAGAATTGATAACATCAGGTCACTACATACGTGTAGAATTGATAACATCAGGTCACTACATACGTGTAGCATTGATAACATCAGGTCACTACATACGTGTAGCATTAATAGCATCAGGTCACTACATACGTGTAGAATTGATAACATCAGGTCACTACATACGTGTAGCATTGATAACATCAGGTTACTACATACGTGTAGCATTATTAGCATCAGGTCACTACATACGTGTAGCATTAATACCATCAGTTCACTACATACGAGTAGAATTGATAACATCAGGTCACTACATACGTGTAGAATTGATAACATCAGGTCACTACATACGTGTAGCATTGATAACATCAGGTCACTACATATGTGTAGAATTGATAACATCAGGTCACTACATACGTGTAGAATTGATAACATCAGGTCACTACATACGTGTAGAATTGATAACATCAGGTCACTACATACGTGTAGAATTGATAACATCAGGTTACTACATACGTGTAGCATTATTAGCATCAGGTAACTACATACGTGTAGCATTAATAGCATCAGGTCACTACATACGTGTAGCAATGATAACATCAGGTTACTACATAGGTGTAGAATTGATAACATCAGGTTACTACATACGTGTAGCATTGATAACATCAGGTTACTACATACGTGTAGAATTGATAACATCAGGTTACTACATACGTGTAGCATTGATAACATCAGGTTACTACATACGTGTAGAATTGATAACATCAGGTTACTACATACGTGTAGAATTGATAACATCAGGTTACTACATACGTGTAGAATTGATAACATCAGGTTACTACATACGTGTAGCATTGATAACATCAGGTTACTACATACGTGTAGCATTAATAGCGGTAGGTTACTACATACGTGTAGTATTGATAACATCAGGTTACTACATACGTGTAGTATGGATAACATCAGGTTACTACATACGTGTAGCATTAATAGCATCAGGTCACTAGATATGTGTAGTATTAATAGCATCAGATCACTACATACGTGTAGCATTAATAGCATCAGGTTACTACATACGTGTAGCATTAATAGCATCAGATCACTACATACGTGTAGCATTAATACCATCAGTTCACTACATACGAGTAGAATTCATAACATCAGGTCACTACATACGTGTAGAATTGATAACATCAGGTCACTACATACGTGTAGAATTGATAACATCAGGTCACTACATACGTGTAGAATTGATAACATCAGGTCACTACATATGTGTAGAATTGAAAACATCAGGTCACTACATATGTGTAGAATTGATAACATCAGGTCACTACATACGTGTAGAATTGATAACATCAGGTTACTACATACGTGTAGCATTATTAGCATCAGGTTACTACATACGTGTAGCATTATTAGCATCAGGTAACTACATACGTGTAGCATTAATAGCATCAGGTTACTACATACGTGTAGCATTGATAACATCAGGTTACTACATACGTGTAGAATTGATAACATCAGGTTACTACATACGTGTAGCATTGATAACATCAGGTTACTACATACGTGTAGCATTGATAACATCAGGTTACTACATACGTGTAGAATTGATAACATCAGGTTACTACATACGTGTAGCATTGATAACATCAGGTTACTACATACGTGTAGAATTGATAACATCAGGTTACTACATACGTGTAGCATTGATAACATCAGGTTACTACATACGTGTAGCATTGATAACATCAGGTCACTACATACGTGTAGCATTGATAACATCAGGTTACTACATACGTGTAGCATTGATAACATCAGGTTACTACATACGTGTAGCATTGATAACATCAGGTCACTACATACGTGTAGCATTGATAACATCAGGTTACTACATACGTGTAGCATTAATAGCATCAGGTCACTACATACGTGTAGCATTAATAGCATAAGGTCACTACATACGTGTAGAATTGATATCATAAGGTCACTACATACGTGTAGCATTAATAGCATCAGGTCACTACATACGTGTAGAATTGATAACATCAGGTCACTACATACGTGTATAACATCGTGTAGAATTGATACTCAGGTCACTACATACGTGTAGAATTGAAAACATCAGGTCACTACATATGTGTAGAATTGATAACATCAGGTCACTACATACGTGTAGCATTGATAACATCAAGTCACTACATACGTGTAGAATTGATAACGTCAGGTCACTACATACGTGTAGAATTGATAACGTCAGGTCACTACATACGTGTAGAATTGATAACATCAGGTCACTACATACGTGTAGAATTGATAACATCAGGTCACTACATACGTGTAGAATTGATAACATCAGGTTACTACATACGTGTAGAATTGATAACATCAGGTTACTACATACGTGTAGCATTGATAACATCAGGTTACTACATACGTGTAGCATTGATAACATCAGGTTACTACATACGTGTAGCATTGATAACATCAGGTTACTACATACGTGTAGCATTGATAACATCAGGTTACTACATACGTGTAGCATTGATACCATCAGGTTACTAAATAACATTATCGCTTAGATTGTTCCATGAGATAACGTCATTCTGAATGACAGCCGAGTGTGATGTTTCCTCACAGAGTAGAAATTTTTTTTATGTTATTGGTGTAAAGTCTTTTAAGTGTAGTATATAGGAGAACGAACCTGGAAGTTTGATCAATAAGAACGTTTACAAATACATAAATAGATAAAACCGACTTTAATTTCAGAAATACTGAGATCAGATATAGCTGTAGACACATTTAAATATCGAGAAATTACAACAGTTGTTATAAGTACAAGATTAGCAGACATAACCGTGTTTAAAGTAGAGAGAATAGACAGTATGAAAGTAGATCAAATGGGAGTCAACACTGCCACTGTGTACCACCCTGCATAACAGAAACATGTACTATAGAATCATATAGTATTGTGGTGAACAATTTTCGTGGTTTAAAAAATCGTGGACATTTAATTTCTTTGAAAAATACAGTCAATGGATATCGTTAAATCAAGCACATAAGTTGGTGGACATATGAGTTTGTGCAATATTGAAATTAAGTATAACAGTTCGTGGACATATGAGTTTGTGCAATATTGAAATTAAGTATAACAGTTCGTGGACATATGAGTTTGTGCAATAATGAAATTAAGTATAACAGTTCGTGGACATATGAGTTTGTGCAATATTGAAATTAAGTATAACAGTTCGTGGACATATGAGTTTGTGCAATATTGAAATTAAGTATAACAGTTCGTGGACATATGAGTTTGTGCAATATTGAAATTAAGTATAACAGTTCGTGGACATATGAGTTTGTGCAATATTGAAATTAAGTATAACAGTTCGTGGACATATGAGTTTTTTGCAATATTGAAATTAAGTATAACAGTTCGTGGACATATGAATTTGTGCAATAATGAAATTAAGAAATAAACAAACACAAATCCCCCACGAAAACTGGTGTTTTCAGAGTACATGGATGTCCGAACTTGGCACGGCCATGTAAGAACACAATCCGAGTTACAACCAGTTTGAGTGAATATAAAATAATCACACCCCCGTACGTATGAGGGAGGGCGGTACTGTCCAACAGTATGTAAACTCTCTCATTCCCAATAAACTACATTGTAGTATTGTACACGTCAAGATGTTTCTGTACATGTACGACCGTAATATCAACATCCGTAAACATTACTACCTCGCCAGTTCTCTACAACATCATCAGTTCAGCAGGTAAACCCCATCTTATCCTGGCCATGCTACATTCTGGTTTGTGGTTTTGGTGCTGCTTACTAATGCTTAAGTAGCGTGTCCAGTTTCTACATTGTACCACCTGGAAAGCTACAGGTAATACGAGAGATGTTAATCTTACGGGGATATTGTCATATCATGTTATAGACTGTAAATTATTACCTCCCTTTAATATTGACGGTGTTAGGACAATCTTTAAAAGTGAGGATTTCACATCAGACCATTTTAGTCAAGATATTTTACCAAACAAAGTTTGAAGTCGTTAAAATACTCACCCCTAAAGATTGGGGACATTTTCCAGACACGGATGGGCCCCTCCTGCGTGTACTGGCCCATGGAAAGTTCCATCATAAACACAGGAATGGCGCCCAGCAGTAACACAGTGAAGTATGGAATGATAAACGCACCTGTAAAAAGTATTATCCAACATTTAATTATTGTTTAAAATAAAAGCAACATGAACACTGACAAATTGGACGTTCACTGTGGAACAAAGAAGATATGTACTCTTTATAACTATTCATTCAGTTATGGTACGATGTAGTGTAATGTTGATATTTAGAAATACATTGGTAGGCTGGTGATTTTTATAACAAATATGCATCATCAGACATGCAACAAAAAATTCGAAATTTTTTCTGCTCTCGGATTTTTTAATGGCAAGGAGATGGAAATTAAATTCAGATAACTGAAGTTAGGATGAATGTTTCTCGCACATGGAAATGTACTGTTACTACACCGTGAACTTATTACTTAAAGACTTGTACCAATAGTAAAACGACCCCTAACTGGGAAATTGGACACCTCTCATCTCATGCAGGGTACTAATTCAAGTTAATTCAACATATTTTCGACTTAATAAGTATTTCTTCTCTAGACTGTATGTATACCGTATGAATTGATGTATCATAAATCGGATTTATAATCAATATGGCGACTTCAATCGAGAAAAGTAACATTTTAAAATCAATTTGATCTTACAACTCCCAGGTCAAACTATCTATATATCGGCTAAAAATAGTTCACTTTAATGACTATTGAGATCGTTGTGGAGATGTGTTCGACGAGAAGGTTGGAATTTCTTTCAGCACCAGAAGCGACAAACTCCTCATTTTTTGTTTCTTCATTTATAAAATACGAAGACTTTATGATGTTTAAAATACGATGACTTTATAATATAAAAAATACGATGACTTTATAATATCAAAAATACGATGACTTTATGATATCAAAAATACGATGACTTTATAATATCAAAAATACGATGACTTTATGACATCAAAAATACGATGACTTTATGACATCAAAAATACGATGACTTTATGATATCAAAAATACGATGACTTTATAATATAAAAAATACGATGACTTTATAATATCAAAAATACGATGACTTTATGATATCAAAAATACGATGACTTTATAATATCAAAAATACGATGACTTTATAATATCAAAAATACGATGACTTAATGATATCAAAAATACGATGACTTAATGATATCAAAAATACGATGACTTTATAATATCAAAATACGATGACTTTATAATATCAAAATACGATGAATTATAATATAAAAAATACGATGATTTTATGATGTTTAAAATAACAGTAAATCAAATTGGTTTCTTAGAAAACGAAAACAACGTAGCTAAAATAATGTAGAAGAAAATAACCTTCCATTGTTTATCAATTCATTAAAAACTAACAAAGGATAACAGTACCTTCCGTGCGCAGCACGAGTGATCGATACAAAACAATATTAGATACAAGCAAAATAGTCAAATCACTGGTTTGTTTAGAACTTCGCAGTACGCGAAAGAATATAGTCTGTTGTTTAAAAATTCATTTAAAACACAAAAATAAGATTCAATGTAAATTTGTTTTCATATTCATATAGAAAATGTTACTTTTTATGTCTCTCAGAGACAAAATTTGTTGTAAAACGTTAAAAAAAGACAAGTTACTACGCGGCTGAAAATGTGGCGGCATCCTGCAGTTGTCGCTGTTGATGACACGAATCCCTTTGAAATGTCTAACGGGTTAGACTTTCGGTTGGGGATTGGGTTTTATTACTGATGAATTAATTTGCGTTGCACTGTTTGCTGAATTTTCTGAAAATGAATGTTTACCATGGAATTGAAGGTCGTGTCACAAGTAAACAACCCCTTCAGATGTCTGGTTTTGAGATTTTTGTAACGGGTATTTATCATATGTCAGTTTTATCAGGGGATTTGTGTTCTTTCTTTTTACAGGCGTAAGTCTGCGAATGTGTTGTTTTTCACTAGTGAAAAATAATACTTTTATCAACTAAATATTTCTCTGGCAAAAATGCAATAAGAGGTTTTATATGACCGATCCGTTTTGGTAGAAAGTGACTATATCACAAATACTGCGCCATTCTAATGACTAAAACAGTTTAAATTTTGTTGACAGTATCCATGAAATTTCACCAGACAGTATTATACAATACATATTTATGTTACGAGCTACTCTTCCAATAATAACCCACTAATGTTACATGTTACCCTTCCAACAATAACCCTATAATGTTACATGTTACGCTCCTACAATAACCCTCTAATGTTTCATGTTACCCTTCCAACAGTTACCCTCCAATGTTAGACGTTACCCTTCCAACAATTACCCTCTAGTATTACATGTTACCCTACCAACAATAACTTACAAATGTTACATGTTACCCTATCAACAATAACCCACTAATGTTGCATGTTACCTTTTCAACAAAAACACACTAATGTTACATGTTACCTTACCAACAATAACCCACTAAAGTTACATGTTACCCTTCCAATATTTACCCACTAATGTTACATGTTACCCTACCAACAATAACCCACAAATGTTACATGTTACCCTCCTACAATAACCCTTTAATGTAACATGTTACCCTTCCAACAATTACCCTCCAATGTTACATGTTACCCTTCCAACAATTACCCTCTAGTATTTCATGTTACCCTACCAACGATTACTTACTAATGTTACAAGTAACCCTACCAACAGTAACCCACTAATGTCACATGTTACCCTTCCAACAATAACCTACTAATGTTACACTTACCCTATCAACAAAAACCCACTAATGTTACGTGTTACTCTACCTACAATAAGCCACTAATGCTACATGTTACCTTTTCAACAATAACAAAGTTACATGTTACCTTACCAACAATAACCCAATAATGTTACATGTTACCCTTCCTACAATAACCCTCTAATGTAACATGTTACCTTACCAACAATAACCCACTAAAGTTACATGTTAACCTTCCAATGTTACATGTTACCATTCTAACAGTTACCCTTTAGTGTTATATGTTACCCTACCAACAATAACCCACTAATGTTACATGTTACCTTACCAACAATAACCCACTAATGTTACACATTACCCTACCAACAATAACCCACTAAAGTTACATGTTACCCTACCAACAATAACCCACTAAAAGTTACATGTTACCCTACCAACAATAACCCAATAATGTTACCCTTTCAACAGTGTCCTCACTAATGTTACATGCTACCCTATAAACAATAATGTGTCTGTTATTAGTACTCAATGTTCCGAGCTATATAGAGACTAGTATTCAATTTTCCGAGCTATAAAGATGCTAGTATTTAAAGTTCCGAGCTATATAGAGGCAAGAAGTCAATGTTCCGAGCTATATAGAGGCTAGTATTCAATGTTCTGAGCTATATAGAGACTAGTATTCAATGTTCGGAGCTATATAGAAGCTAGTATTCAATGTTCCGAGCTATATATAAGCTAGTATTCAATGTTCCGAGCTATATAGAGGCTAGTATTCAATGATCCGAGCTATATAGAGGCTAGTATTCAATGTTCCGAGCTATATATAAGCTAGTATTCAATGTTCCGAGCTATATATAAGCTAGTATTCAATGTTCCGAGCTATATAGAGGCTAGTATTCAATGATCCGAGCTATATAGAGGCTAGTATTCAATGTTCCGAGCTATATATAAGCTAGTATTCAATGTTCCGAGCTATATATAAGCTAGTATTCAATGTTCCGAGCTATATAGAGGCTAGTATTCAAGGTTCTGAGCTATATAGAGGCTAGTATTCAATGATCCGAGCTATATAGAGGCTAGTATTCAATGTTCTGAGCTATATATAAGCTAGTATTCAATGTTCCGAGCTATATAGAGGCTAGTATTCAAGGTTCTGAGCTATATAGAGGCTAGTATTCAATGATCCGAGCTATATAGAGGCTAGTATTCAATGATCCGAGCTATATAGAGGCTAGTATTCAATGTTCCGAGCTATATCAATGTTCGGAGCTATATAGAAGCTAGTATTCAATGTTCCGAGCTATATATAAGCTAGTATTCAATGTTCCGAGCTATATATAAGCTAGTATTCAATGATCCGAGCTATATAGAGGCTAGTATTCAATGTTCTGAGCTATATAGAGGCTAGTATTCAATTATCCGAGCTATATAGAGACTAGTAATCAATGTTCCGAGCTATATAGAGGATAGTATGCAATGTTCCGAGCTATATAGAGGCTAGTAGTCAATGTTCTGAGCTATATAGAGGCTAGTAATCAATGTTCTGAGCTATATAGAGGCTAGTATTCAATGATCCGAGCTATATAGAGGCTAGTATTCAATGTTCGGAGCTATATAGAAGCTAGTATTCAATGTTCCGAGCTATATATAAGCTAGTATTCAATGTTCCGAGCTATATAGAGGCTAGTATTCAAGGTTCTGAGCTATATAGAGGCTAGTATTCAATGATCCGAGCTATATAGAGGCTAGTATTCAATGTTCTGAGCTATATATAAGCTATATGTTCCGAGCTATATAGAGGCTAGTATTCAAGGTTCTGAGCTATATAGAGGCTAGTATTCAATGATCCGAGCTATATAGAGGCTAGTATTCAATGTTCTGAGCTATATAGAGGCTAGTATTCAATGTTCCGAGCTATATAGAGACTAGTATTCAATGTTCGGAGCTATATAGAGGCTAGTATTCAATGTTCCGAGCTATAAAGAGGCTAGTATTCAATGTTCCGAGCTATATAGAGAATAGTATTCAATGTTCTGAGCTATATAGAGGCTAGTATTCAATGTTCTGAGCTATATAGAGACTAGTATTCAATGGTCCGAGCTATAAAGAGGCTAGTATTCAATGTTCTGAGCTATATAGAGGCTAGTATTCAATTATCCGAGCTATATAGAGACTAGTATTCAATGTTCTGAGCTATATAGAGGCTAGTATTCAATGTTCTGAGATATATAGAGGCTAGTATTCAATTATCCGAGCTATATAGAGACTAGTATTCAATTATCCGAGCTATATAGAGGCTAGTATTCAATTATCCGAGCTATATAGAGGCTAGTATTCAATGTTCCGAGCTATATAGAGACTAGTATTCAATGTTCTGAGCTATATAGAGGCTAGTATTCAATGTTCTGAGATATATAGAGGCTAGTATTCAATTATCCGAGCTATATAGAGACTAGTAATCAATGTTCCGAGCTATATAGAGGCTAGTAGTCAATGTTCTGAGCTATATAGAGGCTAGTAGTCAATGTTCTGAGCTATATAGAGGCTAGTATTCAAGGTTCTGAGCTATATAGAGGATAGTATGCAATGTTCCGAGCTATATAGAGGCTAGTATTCAATGTTCTGAGCTATATAGAGGCTAGTAGTCAATGTTCTGAGCTATATAGAGGCTAGTATTCAATATTCTGAGCTATATAGAGGCTGGTAGTCAATGTTCTGAGCTATATAGAGGCTAGTATTCAATGTTCCGAGCTATATAGAGGCTAGTATTTAATGTTCCGAGCTATATAGAGGCTAGTATTTAAAGTTCCGAGCTATATATAAGCTAGCATTCAATGTTCCGAGCTATATAGAGACTAGTAGTCAATGTTCCGAGCTATATAGAGGCTAGTATTCAATTATCCGAGCTATATAGAGGCTAGTATTCAATGTTCTGAGCTATATAGAGGCTAGTATTCAATGATCCGAGCTATATAGAAGCTAGTATTTAATGTTCCGAGCTATATAGAGGCTAGTATTCAATGATCTGAGCTATATAGAGGCTAGTATTTAAAGTTCCGAGCTATATATAAGCTAGTATTCAATGTTCCGAGCTATATAGAGACTAGTATTCAATGTTCGGAGCTATATAGAGGCTAGCATTCAATGTTCCGAGCTATATAGAGGCTAGTATTCAATGTTCTGAGCTATATAGAAGCTAGTATTCAATGTGCCGATTTTCATACTGTTTTGTCGGGTTTAAAAATGAATTATAAAAGTTGAAACATCCGTAATATAAATTCGATACTGTAGTTACACTAATGTATTGTAATACACATAACTACTTCATGTACTGTTTTTATTTCAAACCGCGCGAAAATTTAAATAAAAAGAAATACTCAAAAAGGTACACAAACACGCTGATATTTTTGTAACATGGACACAGACTTAGTCCAATGGTAACACGACAGACTGAATCGATGTCAGAATTTCACTTTGGCCACAACTATCAACAGCGCAGATTTATTTCTTTGTAAACAAATTGTGACGTCATGTTAATGATCCGATATAAAAATCAAGCATGATTTACTTACCTCCGCCATTTTTGTAAGCCAGATACGGGAATCTCCAGACATTGGAAAGATCCACAGAGTAGCCAATCACAGCCAACAAATAGTCAGCTTTGTTACCCCAGTTCTCAACCGGAAGTTTAACATCGTCGTCGTCTGGGTAACGGTCAGGAATGTCGTCGATATCGTCTGCTTTCTCCGATAACAAAGAATTCTTTTCGGCGTCTGGACAGTCCCGTGGAGGGTCCTTTCCATTTTGAATCTGGTCCTTGGATACATCTGTCGGAATGACCGTCTGGAGCTCCATCGTGTTGGCGGTAGAGTCCGAGTCTCCCGGACTGTCGTCGGTTTGACTGTCGGAAAGATCACTCTGGTCTGGAGCACTGAAGTCAAAATCGTCGTATGTATCGTCGTCTTCGTCGTCGGAATTTACAGGTTTCTTCTGCAATCAATAGGTTTATAGTAAGTATCGTTGTCCAGTATCTCTGTGTAGAGACCAGGCATTAACAGAACATCTTGTGTAGTACAGTATGAAGCTATAACAATAGAAGTCAGTATTTAACAATTTAACCAGCATTACATCAGTCCGTGTTCTGGCGATCCATACTGTTTGTGGTGGTCAGTTCCGTCTGACGTAATGCTCCATATAACACAGTGAAGTGTTTACAAATGTCCGAACATCTGACCAGGTCAACAGTCGTAAACATACTGAACCTGGAGAAGTTATCGTCAACCTAGATGTATGACGACAGGCCACTGTAGATCTGAGTCGAACTGACGCGCATGGGAGGCAACTTAGGTCGCATGACATTGTCTGGAATTCACGATTATCAAATGTACATTTGTGATGTTAAAGATATCAAAACACGGGGTTTTTTTATTCAGACATCAATCGTAGAAATTCAGTCGAAATTAAATGTCAATTTGTTATTTACAATCTTCCAATATACAGAACAGTACAGATTTATCATTCATCGAATTATATTTTACAACTTTTGCATGGCTGCGTGTGATTGGCTGTTACTGGGGTGCGAGTGATCATCCATACAGATTTGATTGGCTGAGAGGTTGTGCGTGAGAGACCATTGCGGGCTGTTAAATTTTCCAGAAATTGGCGACGGCTAACAGAGAGGAGCAGAGCTAATGTGAGAGCTGGTATATTAATCACAGTGTACCACAGGTAATTGAGCGTGTTTAACTAGGTCTTCAGGTCAAAACAAAGTGTCACTAGCGCCAGAGCCGACACATATTGATGCAGCTCTAGACATTCCACTGTATTTATTTGTTGTACTTGTGCTTTCTACGTGTTTAATAGACTTACCTATAACTTTATTTCTTATTTACTTACATGTGTATATCATTCATTTTTTAACGATTTTACGTCGTCCACTATTGCGGCCTTTAGTTCTTTCAGCGGACTTATTTGTATAGGAGTCAACGACCTAAAGCTGCGAATTTGTTAAGTATGATAACGGCATAATTACAGGTTATGCTAATTCCTTGTAGTTCGTTCCAGCAACCAGAGATCAAACGGGATTCGCCCTGGGCGAATGTACTGTAAATACTACAACGACAATGGGTCAAAATACAGAAAGATTATTATTTAATCGAAACGATTCCGCTCTAAAACTTCCATAAATACAAACAATATTTAGTGTTTCGATACCATTCAATAGAATATCTGTTGTTTTTTGTAACGGAGTCTTATCCTGTAAAACGTTTCGAGCCAAAGCATGGCCGTGCTGGAATTGTTATTTCTGTGTAAGCCGATGACTAAGTTATCAAATACATAGTCTCGTTTGTATTTGATTTATAAACTAAAACAAAATCAGGCAGAGTATACTTCGGCTGACTTGGATGAATGTTTAACTTAGTCAAAGTTGTTACAACTTTTCTACGCAATTTTAGTTCAATGAAATCAGGGCCACAGTAGAACAGCGATAAAAAAATAAATTAAATGAATGATCGATGACTTTTAAGATTCTATATTCCCATCTCGATCAGAATGAAAAAAAAAAAATATTGTAAATTGTAAACTATATTGTGAGCATATTGTATTCCAAGTAAAGAGAAAGGAGTCAATCAGCGTTATCTATCGTCCGAAACAGGTAACATCTAACGTCAGAAACAGGTAACATCTGACGTCAGAAACAGGTAACATCTAACGTCAGAAACAGGTAACATCTACCGTCAATAACAAGTAACATCTAACGTCAGAAACAGGTAACATCTAACGTCAGAAACAGGTAACATCTAACGTCCGAAACAGGTAACATCTAACGTCAGAAACAGGTAACAGGTAACGTCCGAAACAAGTAACATCTAACGTAAGAAACAGGTAACATCTAACGTCAGAAACAGGTAACATCTAACGTCAGAAACAGGTAATATCTAACATCCGAAACAGGTAACACCTAACGTCAGAAACAGGTAACATCTAACGTCAGAAACAGGTAACATCTAACGTCAGAAACAGGTAATATATAACGTCCGAAACAGGTAACATCTAACGTCAGAAACAGGTAATATCTAACGTCAGAAACAGGTAACATCTAACGTCAGAAACAGGTAACATCTAACGTCCGAAACAGGTAACATCTAACGTCAGAAACAGGTAACATCTAACGTCAGAAACAGGTAACATCTAACGTCAGAAACAGGTAACATCTAACGTCAGAAACAGGTAACATCTAACGTCAATAACAAGTAACATCTAACGTCCGAAACAGGTAACATCTAACGTCAGAAACAGATAACATTTCACGTCCGAAACAGGTAACATCTAACGTCCGAAACAGATAACATCTAACGTCAGAAACAGGTAACATCTACCGTCAATAACAAGTAACATCTAACGTCAGAAACAGGTAACAGGTAACATCTAACGTCAGAAACAGATAACATTTCACGTCCGAAACAGGTAACATCTAACGTCAGAAACAGATAACATCTAACGTCAGAAACAGGTAACATCTAACGTCAAAAACAGGTAACATCTAATGTCAGAAACAGGTAACAGGTAACATCTAACGTCAGAAACAGGTAACATCTAACGTCAGAAACAGGTAACAGGTAACATCTAACGTCAGAAACAGGTAACATCTAACGTCAAAAACAGGTAACATCTAACGTCAGAAACAGGTAACATCTAACGTCAAAAACAGGTAACATCTAACGTCAGAAACAGGTAACATCTAACGTCAAAAACAGGTAACATCTAACGTCAGAAACAGGTAACATCTAACGTCAGAAACAGAAAACATCTCACGTCCGAAACAGGTAACATCTAACGTCCGAAACAGGTAACATCTAACGTCAGAAACAGGTAACATCTAACGTCAAAAACAGGTAACATCTAACGTCAGAAACAGGTAACATCTAACGTCAAAAACAGGTAACATCTAATGTCAGAAACAGGTAACAGGTAACATCTAACGTCAGAAACAGGTAACATCTAACGTCAAAAACAGGTAACATCTAACTTCAGAAACAGGTAACATCTAATGTGTAATGTTAATATATCAAACAGTAACAGTGTGTAAAACACTATCAGTGTGTAATGTTAATATATCAAACAGTTACAGTGTGTATTAAAACACTATCAGTGTGTAATGTTAATATATCAAACAGTAACATGTAATGTTAATATATCAGAAACAGTGTGTAAAACACTATCATGTTAATATATCAAACAGTAACATCAATATGTAATGTTAATAACGTCGAAACAGTGTAAAACACTATCAGTGTGTAATGTTAATATATCAGAAACAGTGTAACACTATCCGTTAATATATCAAAAACAGTTAATATATAACAGTGTGTATAAACAGTGTATTAAAACACTATCAATGTGTAATGTTAATATATCAAACAGAAACAGTGTGTAAAACACTATCAGTGTGTAATGTTAATATATCAAACAGTCAGTGTGTATTAAAACACTATCAGTGTGTAATGTTAATATATCAAACAGTAACAGTAACACTATCAATGTGTAATGTCAAACAATCAGTGTGTAATGTTAATATATCAAACAGTAACTATCAGTGTGTAATGTCAAATAATCAAACAGTAACAGTGTGTATGTAAAAACATCAGTGTGTAATGTTAATATATCAAACAGTGTGTAAAAACATCAACAGGTAATGTAATAATATATCAAACAGTAACAGTGTGTAAAACACTATCAGTGTGTAATGTTAATATATCAAACAGTCAAAAACAGTGTGTATATATCAAACAGTGTGTAAAACACTATTAGTGTGTAATGTTAATATATCAAACAGTAACAGTGTGTAAAACACTATCAGTGTGTAATGTTAATATATCAAACAGTTACAGTGTGTATTAAAACACTATCAGTGTGTAATGTTAATATATCAAACAGTAACAGTGTGTAAAACACTATCAGTGTGTAATGTTAATATATCAAACAGTTACAGTGTGTAAAACACTATCAGTGTGTAATGTTAATATATCAAACAGTAACAGTGTGTATTAAAACGCTATCAGTGTGTAATGTTAATATATCAAACAGTAACAGTGTGTAAAACACTATCAGTGTGTAATGTTAATATATCAAACAGTTACAGTGTGTAAAGCACTATCAGTGTGTAATGTTAATATATCAAACAGTAACAGTGTGTATTAATCCACTATCTACGAGTAATGTTAATATATCAAACAGTGTGTAATGTTAATATATCAAACAGTAACAGTGTGTAAAACACTATCAGTGTGTAATGTTAATATATCAAACAGTAACAGTGTGTAAAACACTATCAGTGTGTAATGTTAATATATCAAACAAAACACTATCAGTGTGTAATGTTAATATATCAAACAGTAACAGTGTGTAAAACACTATCAGTGTGTAATGTTAATATATCAAACAGTAACAGTGTGTAAAACACTATCAGTGTGTAATGTTAATATATCAAACAGTTACAGCGTGTAAAACACTATCAGTGTGTAATGTTAATATATCAAACAGTAACAGTGTGTAAAACACTATCAGTGTGTAATGTTAATATATCAAACAGTTACAGTGTGTAAAACACTATCAGTGTGTAATGTTAATATATCAAACAGTAACAGTGTGTATTAAAACACTATCAGTGTGTAATGTTAATATATGTTAATATACAGTAACAGTGTGTAAAACACTATCAGTGTGTAATGTTAATATATCAAACAGTAACAGTGTGTATTAAAACACTATCAGTGTGTAATGTTAATATATCAAACAGTAACAGTGACACACTATCAATGTGTAATGTTAATATATCAAACAGTAACAATGTGTAAAACACTATCAGTGTGTAATGTTAATATATCAAACAGTAACAGTGTGTATTAAAACACTATCAATGTGTAATGTTAATATATATCAAACATGTTAATATATAACAGTGTGTAAAACACTATCAGTGTGTAATG